TGGATATAAAAAACGTCGAAAACGGAGTTGGTATGAGGAGGATATGAATTTTTGAAGTTTACTAAATAATTAAAATATAAATTTAATTAAAATCCGGTATTATCCGAAGGAGGAGTCATCAGACCAATCTAGGTTACACCCAGCATACCCTCGTACGCTCTGCGTACTCGGATGCTCAGCCTCAATTCGTCCACGTCGCTCTGATGTTTCGACCGATGATGCGGTCATGTGTGACGAATGAGTACGCCCCGCGTACTCATGTACGCCCAGCGTATCGAGGACCTCCAGCCCCTATGAATAGAATGCGAGGATGCCGTCCATTTTTGCTCAATTCTTTCCTTTCTTGCACCTGAGCTCTTCGTTTCGACCCTTGGAGCCATCCCAAAGTCCCAATTTTCATATCCAAGTTCGAAAGGAAGTTTTACGCTCCCGAGATTCCCGAGAATCCCAAGAAATCCGCTTTCTCGAGTAGAAGTTATGCTCGGTTTTCGTCACGCTTTCTTCAATCAATCAAATGAGTTTATACCCCTATAATCCACACTTTTAAATGTTTTATGAATACTTTTATATGCTTTTAAGGGGGGGGGGGGAATACAAGTCAAACACTCGATTATTATCGTGTGTTATATAAACTTTCACTATACACTTTTTATCAATGGAATCATATGTGATTTATAACTATTATAGGGAAACTTTCGTATGCAAAATATACCACGATAACATCTTATCTTTTGAAATAAGAAATGATTTATGTATATATGTAAATCAAACACTCTGCTTATACTGTATGTTTGTGTGTCCAACTTTGTCACGAAAAACATCAATCTTTTGCTATACTTGTTTTTAAATAAATCAATCTTATGGGATTTATAACTACTATACAAATGGATTTACTACACGTTTAGCAGTTTCACCAAACATAATACTTCAAATGACTTCTTAAACGTTTTTACATGTTTAATGCTCTTTATCACACTGTCTTACACACTGTAAGTTCCTTTCAAACTCTGTTACATGGGTGTTTTCAAACAAAGATTTTCCTTATACTTAAAGTGTCTGATCAAACAAAATACTTTCAATCATTTTATAAACTGACATCAAGTCGATCTTTTGTTAGATATTAATCTTTTTCAAAGGTTTTACAAAACTTCTATTATGCTTTTATATTATCAAATGCATGCCCATATATGTGTAGTTATATAAGTAATGTTTAAAGGACTTAGGGAGGCTAACTCATTCTATTTCCTTTTCCTCGTTGGGATGTGGCTATGGGATATCGTTTATCCGTCCGAATGTCGTCTAAATATTAGTTATATATATCATGTGTACATATGTAGACATAAAAGTTTTCCCCAGTCAGTTCAGTACCTTTGGGTAGAAAAGGCATACTTCAGGTTATACACATACATTACTAGTAACTATAATAGGTATAGTTAGGAGATACTATTTACCATTCCATGTACAAGAAATCACACAAGAGTCAGTTCATTCATGAGTCTATACGATACATTACATGCTACATGAATACGATTACATAGATGCGCTTACATGAATACGTTTACATAGATACGCTTACATGAATCCTCTTACACGGATACTTTTACCTAGATACTATATAATGAGATACTATTACATATTATACATATAGATTAGATCTATCTATCCTAGTACAAACAAATACACTGCGGGACTAACCATTCCTATAACCTCTGTTAGCTTCAGAGGTAAATGCACATCTACGGATGTCTACGGTTGATACCATTATAGGTATACTTTAAGGGACTAACTATTCCTACACACAGCTGCTAGCAACAGAGGTAAATGTACATTTTCGGATGACTACAGTTAATACTATTAGGTAATTCCTATGACATGTTTATCCTAGTACCAAAGGATAATATTTAAGTTATTAGTTCATTTCCTTTACTTTGTTATACATTCGCGTAAATAACGAGGTAGACCAATACTTATATAATTATATGACTACCTTTATTTTGTGACACATTTACATAGTCGATGAGGTAGGCTACAGTCTTATAACAATAGTTAAACAGAGAAAAATCATCACATTTACACTGATGCATACTTTCAAAACAGTCGAGTCTTGGTAGAAGACTACTTTTATACTAGTAGGAAATATAGGATTTCCTAGGGTTTTCAAACGTTTACAATTACTTACAGACATTTTCCAACTTTTCTCCAAAAGCTTATAAGACTTTACTTTACAGTTTTTTTACAAATCAAAGACACATTAATATTTATGAATTCACCAGATTTATTGTTGATACTCGCTTTCAAAATAACTTGTATTCTCAGGTCACAAATAGATAGGTACGATGACCGCATTTTGTGAAGATGGAGAAATCATGACTCCTTTTTATTTTGATTAGTTATTATGCTGTCTGATACTACGAAAGAACACACTTGTAACAAAAATTATACTATTAATGCAATGGATGTTTTTGTTGCTTGTTTACTACTTTGCATTGTTGTGATACATTACATGACGTCCTCCGCCCCAGAACGTTTCCACCATTCTTGGTTTTGGGGTGTGACAACAGGGAAAATAGACTGATAGGACTCAGTCAGGATACCTACTTGGATAAGGTACTGAAGCGTTTTAGTATGGAAAATTCCAAGAATGGGGAGTTGCCAATCCAAAGCAATACCAAGTTGAGTAAGACTTAAAGTCCGAGTACAGAGGTAGAGATAGCTGATATGAGCCGAGTACCTTATGCTTCTGCAGTTGGCTCTATCATGTACGCTATGACTTGTACTCACCCTGATGTGGCCTTCGCTTTGAGCATGGTCAAAAGATATTAGGGGAACCCTGGTAGAGCTCATTGGATTGCGGTAAAGAATATTCTTAAGTACGTACGAAGGACCAAGGAATGGTTTCTAGTCCTCGGTAGGAGTGATGACTTGAGGGTACGAGCGTACAGTGACACTAGTTTTCAGACGGATTGGGAGAGTTACCGATCGCAGTCGGGCTAGGTCTTTTCCGTAAATGGAGGAGCAGTGACTTGGAAAAGTTCCAAGCAGGAGATCGTGGCTGATTCAACGTGTGAATCAGAGTACATTGCGGCAAGCAAAGCATCGAAGGAGGCTATATGGTTGAAGAACTTCATTGGAGACCTTGGAGTTATGCCTTCCATAAAGGAGCCGATGGAAATTTTCTGTGATATTGAAAGAGTGGTTTCCTTAACCAAGGAACCAAGAGATCATGGTAGATCTCAACGTATCGACAGAAAATACCATTTTAATAGACATTGGGTAGAAGAGTGACTCCTCGTTGTGAAGAGGGTATCGTCAAAAGAAAATCCAGCAGATCCCCTTACGAAGGGACTGAGTAGGGTCAAACACTTGCAGCACGCTAGGAGCATTGGGTTGAAGGATGATATAAGTTTGGATTAGATAGGAAACGTGTAATAGATAGTTTGTACTTGACATTTGATGAATAAATAAACTTGTGTTATTTAGAAGTAAAGTTACTATCTTGTGCTGGTTATTTATCTGTTATTTCAATTTTGCATGTTTTGACTTCCTGAATAATAAGATTATGCAAACGGTCCACAGTCGTTCATGTTTTGGAAGTAGATGTGAATGAAGACTATCATGAATTGTTTGTAGATGGTCTAAAAGGTTTTGGGAATAACAAAGGTTTGCTGCAAAGTTCATGAGTGCTTATGACACTATTAGAAAAATAGCCTTTTCCGACAGGCAAACAATGACGCGTGCTGTTTTATGATACGCAATAGTGTGTGCCATAAAAATAATGTCAGCGGTCCAAAAATTAGAATAATTTAGGGCACACATTTTTTCACGCATCCTAAAATAAGTGTCACATTGAAAAAAAACACGGAGGGCACATAACATAAGATGCATGTCTTCTAAGTATGCCGCTTTATATTCTTTTAATGAAACGTGGGGTCACTTCGGGAAATAAAATTCTGAAATTTTTGAAAGGCCCGCCATGCTACCGTTCTTCTCTCTCTTACTCAAATACCCCAAAAAAACCCTAATATTTTCATCGCTCCTCTTTTCTCCCACAACAAACTCGCACCATCACCAAATCTCTTCATAACACGGGAACACATCCTTCAAGCCGCCGGAATCGAGCTTAGATCCAACTACCCTCACCCGATTGTGAAAATAGATGAGGCAAAAGCCCGATTATAAGAAGTGCTTACTCAAATGTGGCAGCATAATGCATCTTCTCGAGGGATTCTGGAAAACAAGATAGAAGAAGGACTTAGAGACTCGTCGTAAACTGCTCCGAATGCTTTCCCTCGAGATATGGAGATGGAGATGGACGAGAATACATTGAGGACAAACCCTACCACTACTAGAAAACTAGTCCAATAGCTACAGCACAATCCGTAGCTATTCCGTAGCTATAAGCGAATAGCTACGGAATTGCTACTGAAAAATTGTTGTAGCATAATGGCCCGTGGCTAAATTTTAGCTACGGATTAGCTACGGAATTGCTACGAAATAGCTACGGAACTTTCTGTAGCTACCATAGCTACGGAATAGCTACGGAAATAAATATTCTGTAAATATTTCGTAGTTACAGAATAACTACGATCTAGCATCCGTAGTTATTCTGTAAATATTCCGTAGCTAATTAGCTACGGAATAACTACGGAATAGCATTCGTAGCTATTCCGTAGCTAATTAGCTACGGAATAGCATCCGTAGTTATTCCGTAGCTATTTCGTTACTAAATTAGGGCTTCCCATTCTGTAGCTAATCCGTAGCCATTCTGTAGCTAATTAGCTACCGGAAATTTTCCATAGCTATTATCCTTAGCTTTTGTGTGTCACTGATTACGGTTTACGATTGGATTGCTATCTTATCAAATGAATGCTATAGCCATTGAGGCTAGAAAAATCCATTAAAAAAGGAAGGGAAGATTACAATTTTTTTTATAAAGAGGTATCACCCTCCCTTTTTTCTAGTAGTGAACGACCACCACGATCTGTCATTATGAAGACCAAATGGTTCCTAGTATGACGACGTCGTTGTTTAGGGGAGGGGAAGAGGAATCATCTTTAGAAATTGGAAATTTTAGGGAAGATAGCAGGGTGGAAGTTCCGATTAATCAAGGTGGAGATGGAGATGGAGATGGTCAAACGGTGAGAACGGGTAATATGCAGATACCGATTGATATCACGAGGGCATTGAGAATTTCGGATGATTTGCTAGCGAATTCTTCAAACCGTTCGAGTTCAAGTTCGAGGGAAAGAGATGGGGGTGTTGTGCCTGTATGGTCGCCTTCCACTTCTAGTTTCCCGGAGATGTTTGTTGGAGAAGATACGTCTTATTTGTAGAGGCGTACGTAATCTCATCGATTAATCAACAACTGGAGGTGGCTTTCGCAAACAGGGTAAATGTTATGATCTAGAGGCGATATTATATGATGAAATCCATGGATATGCTTTGACTGCAATAAAACCATGGAGGCGTTATTCTTAGTTGTAACCTGACATGAGCTGCAGCATACCAGCCATTGCAGCAGCACTTGTTGTACAGAAGCAGGGGTGAGTTATTATTTCATAACTCGATAATGTTATATAAACCTTGTTTCACTCTTTTTGTTATTCTTTCCAGAGTTAAAGCTGGATAGATCCCCTATCGAAATATCATGGTTTTGGTTCTGAAAACACTCTTTTACTTTATGTAAGCTGGTTAAGTTTGTTTCTCTTGCCATCTAGTTGTTATGATCAATAACTTTGTTAACAATATATATATATATATATATATATATATATATATATATATATATATATATATATATATATATATATATATATATATATATATACACAGAGACACATATACATACATTATATATATATATATGTAGCATATGTGTGTGTGTGTATAAGTAAAAGAAAAAGATCAAGGAAACATTTGTTTTTGGTGTCTCTAAGTGCTTAACATTTTATAATGAACTTATATGATCTTCACTTAATTAGTCAGGGAAGCAATGCTTGAGTAGATATGTCCTTCCTTCTTTTCAAGACCATGGTGGTGTTTCACACAAGGTTAAGCCACAGGAAGCACCAACTGCTTTCCAAGATGTAAAAGTTGTTGGATTGGCTGATGTTGAAGGGAGAATCAATGTCATTGTAAATAATGGACAGGTTTGATATCTACTCACATATATATATATATATATATATATATATATATATATATATATATATATATATATATATATATATATATATATATATATGTTCTCACTTGTTAAACTCCTTTCTGTTGTTAACTTCGGCATTTTTTTCCATTTTTTTATTACAGGTTCTCAGATGTACATTTCGTAGATACCCTTCATCATTATTGGCAAATGATTGCATCACAGCAACGGTCGAGGGACTTGAAGTTAATTTATATAATCATTTTGTGGGTCTTCTTTGGGGCAATGATGATTCAGCAATGGCCGAGGGACTTGTTGCTCTGGTATTGACAGTTGCTCAGAAGTTTCTAAAAGATGGTGACAAGGTTTTTTAATAATTCATTTGATCTTTCTGTGTGTTATTGTTTGTGTGTGTGTTTATTAGTTGAAGCACACAAACAAACCCCTTCACGAGCCCCTAAAACCATCGGTTCAGCTTCTTGTACAACTTGACCCATGCTCAACCCACCAAGGGTAGTTCGGTTATTTCACAATGCCACACCACTACCTTCAAGTTGAGGCACCCCAATAACTCTTGGATCCTCAAAAGCCTCAGTAGCCATTTCAACCACAACATTGTTTATAAAATTTTCTGTATGAACTAGCCTTGAAGCCAACATGAAACACATAGCAGCAGCTTCACCGGATCCAAGTCGGTTAAAAAATTCTTCCAATATTGCCCTTGGTGTGTTGGACTCTAACAATTTAATACAAATCTTCATTATTTATAAAATAATAAAGTTATGTAATAAGATAGTTTAATAACTATGCATAAATGATTTTTGTAATCTTGATGAATATTCCACCATTCGAAAGGGCATTTGCTTGCAGCAAAACAAGACCCAGTACATATAAATAATTGAATGTTTATGTAATAAAAAGAATGTGGGTGTAAAATGTTAATTTTGTAGGTGGAAGGGGTGAAACATATAGGTCCAGCAAAGATGGTTTTTTACTTCACTGGGGAAACAAATATCCTCTACACGTTTGGGGGACATGCTGTTACAGTAGTGTAAGACAACCCCCCTATCCTTTGCATTATTTCCAAAAGACACCCTTGCTTTTTTTATTAAATTAAAATAGATACAATTGTCATTTAGCAAATTAGCATCACTTGTGTTTTGTTTTGTGGGTGTTATCATCATCATCATGTTGAAGATAACTTTGAGCTTGTTTTGCTTTCACACTTTTCTTTTTCTTTTTCCGTTAAGTCGGTTTTTTAAGGCATAATTGTCATTTTAAAGCCATATATTTAGGAACAAAATAGTCATTTCATTAATATTTTCATTCACTTTAATATAAAACTGATATGTCACATAATCACTTGACCTAAATGGATCGAAACTGAAAAGATAAACTAGAAAATGGGTCCCAATAATTTGATACTCCAAGATTTTGTTGGGCCATGGATTTTGATTCAATGACAAGAGAGCCCATACATTCCATGGGTCTATGGGCCCATTAATTACTTGAAACAGGGCCTATAAAAAATAAAGACAAATTCATTCATTTATTTATAAAAGTACTAAATAGAAGCATTGTGTTGTGTAAAGAGAAATAATGCAAGTAGATTCTCACTTGCATTTCAGTGAGGTCATTTCCTTTTTCTTTTTGCATGATTGTGTTTATTTTATTTTAGTTTTAGTACTTAATAGAAGCAAATGGGCTTAAATATTCCATTGCTACTGGGAATTGGGGGAAAGCAAATGTAACTGGAACTAGGGATGGTGTTTCACAGGTGTTGAATCGCCTCACATATGCATCTACATTGTCACATTTACGAAGAATAAATTCACCTATAGGACGTGAAGGTAACTTCTGTTATAATTCTTCTCAAATTGTCTGTTGACATTACTGTGTCTTTATTGTTTCTTGCTTTAGGTTTAGTTCCATGGTGCATGATGTTTTTTGTTTTAGCTTGTATTATATGTAGTTGTTTTTACAAGGAGTCGTCAGTTGTATTGAATTGATGGGTTCTTTATCACATGTATACGTCAGTAACTCAAATATTCCATTTTTATTTTTTTAATGGGATATATTAATTGAAAAATAGTTTAATATTGTGGTTGCAGTGGGCTGTCCTGATATTTTTAGTCCTAGTTAATGGTGTAGTTAATAGTGTAGAGGATCTCATATACAATCTGATGATTATTCTTCTGCAATCTATAATTGTATTACATGAAGAAGAATATAAGTTGTGGAAAGGAATGAACTTAAATCTAAGTTGAATTTTATAAGCTTAATGGGTTAAGCGAGAAAACATGGCTTAATGTATTAGAACACTAACCCTTTACATATTTTCCCTTCTTTTTTCCACCCAACTCTTCTCGTGTTGAAAGTAATTTAAAATTTTAAAACTTGTTAACAATTACTATTACTATTAGTATCTTATCTCTAGACACTCACTCTTTACTTGTGATCAATTTGTTTTTATTAACAATGCAGGTGACTTCTCGACCACACATGCTTCAGAGGACACATGAGATGCAGGCGAGGGAAAATTGTAAATATTGAAGCTCTGAGTTTATTTCTATTATATTAAAATTTTTTGTTATATTAATTTTCTTTTATCATGAGTTATTTGATTGAAAAGAGGACCAATGTGTGTGTTGTATATAAGTAAAGTTTCAAACATAATATATATATATATATATATATATAATATATATATTATATTATATATATATATATATAATATATATATAATATATATATTCAAAATATGCTCTGACATTTCTTTTAGTAAATAACTTTTTTTTTGATGGTGTAGGTTGGTAATTTCAGAGTTAAGCCACATGGGCTATTCTATGGGCGGGGGTAAAGGGAACATCCAAACGTTTGAATGACAACTTTACCCCTTCAATGAATGAAGTTTTTAAACTTATTTCATTGGAAAAGAAATTTATATAATTACAAATTTAATAGATGGGAAAGCTGAAAACAAATCCGTCCAAGTGATATTACCATAAACATCAGAAAGGATGCTCTGATTTCAGAATGTCCAATTCCTGGTGAAAGGTTTGTTTTTTTCCTACTAGATGCTATTAATACATGTTATCACAAGCTGCAAGAGATGTTGGAGCCCTTAGAGAACCCAAGGACAAACTGGAGAAGTGAGTTGAAGAGCTAATATGGAGATTAGACTTTGAAAAGCATTTGAGTATATATATATATATATATATATATATATATATATATATATATATATATATTATATATATATATATATATATATATATACACATATATATTTGTATATTTCTTGTGTCTTTTTAATTTGAAATTTTTGTTACAACTATTGATTTGTTTTATTTTTCCATGGAACGATTATTTGTATGACATCAAATTTTTTGTATATGATATTTTATTTTCTATTATGAGACATTAAATACAAATTTAATTTAAAAATTAGTAAATCTATAAATAATATTTTTTTTAAACATTTAAAGTTATGATACACAAAAACGTGTGTCATCTTCATTTATGACATGACCATTCTTGACAGGGGCTTTGTTGATACGCATTGTGTGTCATTATCACACGCTTCGTAAGGTTACGACATGCGAATGCGTGTCGTCTTCCTTTACGACAGGGCCTTCCTTGATACGCATTGCGCGTCGTAAATGCGCGTCTTCTATAGACGACGCTCAAAAGCGCGTCGTTTGTCTTTATGGGGCCTTTCTTGACGTACATTTGCGCGTCGTCTGAGCCTTTTACGACGCGCAATGAGCATCGTAAAAGGTTGTTTTTCTAGTAGTGTGAATTTGATTTGATCATTGGAATAAACTCGCGTTTGTTGGTATCACTTCGTGGTGCTATACCTAAAGTGATCGCAAAGCGATAATATCATATAGTCTTAAAACATAGAGATATGGTTGTTGTTTGCTGGTTGGTTATGCATTGATGATGTGTAAATGCATCAGTAACTTGATGTGATAAATAACATTGTTGTGCAAGATTCAATTAGTAAATAATAGATGCATATGAGTCGAAGTTAATCTGTTCCTTTTACTCTATAAGAATAAAAGTGATATCTTGGCCACTTGATGATTTGGTTTGACTTATGTGTCGGCCTCGGTCAGAATTAAGTTGATGTGTTCAACTAAATTCTATGTCAAACAAATTCAGAGATCAAGAAACAAGTGTTGGACAATAAGCATTGCCAACATAATGTCTAGAACAGAGGATTATACGATCCCTTATCTGAAGGACAAGTTGATCAGAGTTGACAGCGAAGTATAAGAGCTACGATTGCTAATCGGATTACGAAATCATATGTGAGATATAGTTACTAGACTTATCCAAGTGGGAGACTGTTGGAATAGTGTCTAAGCCCGTAACTATATTTTGTATGTACTTAACCCGGTTATGCATGGTCCTTTTGGGTTGCCTTTGTAGGGTAATGAGCATTCTAACACTCCTAAGTGTACATGCAACCCTAAATACCTTGGATTTATGTTTTCTCTATTATACATACAATTATGAACATCCAAGGTATTATCCTAATCTAGCATACAAAATAATGAATATAACAAGATAGAATACATACCTCTTTGATGTAGAATGTCTTCATAAAGCTGGAGTGCCTAGTGCCCCAAGTGTGACACCTCAAATGGTTCACACAACACCAAATACACTTGGAATAACTTGAGAGAAACTTGAACACTCCTTGAAATCGTCTAGCCCTCACACTCACACATAATGCACAATTTCTTGAGCCATGGGATTCTTTTATATGGTGGCTATTAGGGTTACACCATGTAACTCATAACTTTACCCATTCCTTATGCTCCATGTATTTTAACCTCCATGAAGTATCCATGGGTCACCCCATGGACTTAGTCCAACATAAGGAATCTTGGATCACAAGCCCACATATATAAGAATGAATGATTTACACAATCAACAAATGTAAGATTTCCAAATTCATGTCATTTACTGAAATCTGTTAGATTCTAAACTTATATGCATTGATCCTCTTGTAATGATTATGCACAAAGTTAGAAACACTTGACAACAATCATTACAGAGCATTCCAAAGGAGATCAGATCCTTGGAAACATCCTTCTTGCATTAAGTTTCCTAATCTTACACAGATTGAATAATTTCTACCTTTGAAACATTTCCATATTCCATTTTTGACTATCACTTCTGAACAAGAGTTGCCTCCTTACAGATTATGTCAATACGGTCCTTCCAGAATTAACATTATACTTCCAACTATCCTTGAGCAACCAATCTTTGGTAAACCTTAGATTGTCCTCGACACTTGCTTAATCATTTTAATCGTATCCAATTCTAGACCTTTTCCCTTCATAATGCCCCAGGCATTTGGAAAATTTTAGAAAGGATGAATATAGCACATCTAATCGATCCTATACCCGAAGCATATGGGACACGATTTATGATGTCTCACATAAAGACTGAACCAGTCTTTTGCTATAATATTTTCATTTCAATTTGCCAAGTTCTCAAAATTCAGATTATGAAAAGGGATGTCATAATCATAATCGAATTTTAGAACGCAAATAATGGACCCACATATAGAATTTCCTTATGTTGAGCCATTCCAACATGAAATTCGTATATATATCCTAGACTAAATACGATTAAAATCTCAATCTAAGCTTTTATAATTAAAATGAAGTATAATTTCCTCTCCCTTAATTATAGAAAAACAACTTTTTCAACCCCTGCAGTCTTACGAATTGAAACTTTTGTTTTCTATAATTAACATTGCTAACTTGCAACCTTTATCATAATTATCATGCTCCCACTAACATGATGATTATTAGCAAGGTATCACATCTCTACGTGGACACAAACTATCTGATGTCCGTCTTGAGTATGCTCATATATCGGGTCATTTGAGCCTACTCTGCAGCAAACTCAGGGAAAAACATTTCCCTCTCAGTAAACATGCAGGTGATCTCTATCACCGACTGTGAATCCTATTGTAGATCCAAGAACTCTTGCACAACTCTCTCCCACTCAACCAGTGGGACATAACGGGTACTAAATATATTCCGCAATCGATCCCATGTAACCGCAGTGCGCTACTCATCCGAATATGATCCAGTAATCAATCTCCACCAATCCCTTGCTCTGGACCTTAGCAGGTTCAGAGCACACCTGACCTTTCGTCAGCAGGGCATGAACCATGTTGTTGGGTTATGACCATTCTAACACTCCTATGGTGTACATGCAATCCTATAAACCTTGGATCTATGTTTTCTCTATTATACATGCAAATAAGAACTTTCCAAGGCTTTAATCCTAACTAGCATATTATGAAGATCTCATACTACAAAGTACTAGTTAGATGACATACCTTTTGATGTAGCTTGATGTCTTCAAGCTTTAAGAGCTTAGCCCTAATAGTGTGGAAGCCTCAAGTGGAATCACAAATCACCAAAACACCTTGGAAGACTTTAGAGAATATGGATACTTGGTTCTCTCTAGTGAAATCAGCTAGCCCTTTTTAGTGTACCACACTAGTGCCCATTTCACCAACCAAGGACATCTTTATATAGTATGGAAACTAGGGTTAAACCCATGACCTTTCATTTCATATGATCCATGGGTTAAACACTCAATGGACTATCCATGAAAGCTTAACCCAACCTAAATGAACTTGGCCCATTCCATATATACAAGAGTCCATATTTAATTAGTTCATTTTGATCACTTAATTAATTCTAAATTAATTCTTGATCAATACTAATTAAATAATATGATTCCATAT